TTCTTTCTGAGAGTTCAATATCCAGGAGCAGAAATTTCTGTAGATGTCTCGTACTCCGAGAGAATTTTAAGGCGTATAACGGTGCCCTTGTTTCTGTTCGTTTCTTTCACCCAATTTCGGATTTTTTTTCCGGCAATTGTTAGTGTTCTTAACGCCTTGTTCAGCTGTGAAAATCTGGATAGATCGATTATTTTCTCATCTTTATCCTCAATATTCGCCAGTATGTTCACTGGAGAATCTGAGCGTAAATTGTCTTGCTCATCAGAAACTTCTTCTATTGCGTCCATGGGACGTAGCGGCCATGTTTCGGCGCTCTTTTCTAGCCAACGCGGACCCTTTTAATCCAGTCGTGATTGCTGATTTTCTGAGCCGATAGCCCTCTTGTACCGGCGTCGGCCGGGTTATGACAAGTGATGACGTGTAAAAATGATAGAGCGACGCCATTCTCTTGAATTTGGTCTTTGATTTTCAATATTCGATCTCTTTGGTTTGATACGAATAGAGGCACTTTTTTGGATGTTTTAAGCCAATAAAGTGCAATTTCGCTATCTGACGCGATTGAAATCTGTTTGATTCGCGTGTTCATCGCGGACAGTATAGATTTACTTAGCCATAAGAATTCCGACGAGTTCTAACCTAGGTATGGTTTGGCGTGTCTTTTTTGGAGTCAGTTTAGTCTTTCCGCAAATTAATGGTGACACGAGGTTTGTTGTTTGACCTTGTAAGTAAGCGCAGGCAGCGATTGCTGCATTGCTCGCATCGGCAAATACCCACAGGCGCTTTTTGTCACCCGAGAGGTTATTGGGCAATGTGCGAGGCACAGATATATGTAAGCGTTATTGACCTCTGAGGTTAATTGATTCCATCTCTCGCAAATATGTGGAGCAAGGATTGTTTTCCAGTCGGATTTTAGTTCGAATATTTCTCGCATCATTGATTTGAGCCGAACTAGTAATGGTCCAGCCTAGATCTATTGGATCGTATACGGAGTTTATTTGGCTTACGATGTCTTTTTTCGTTAATCGTACGCATTGGAGGAAACCGAGTAGATAAATTGAATGAGTCCATCTCGGTATTATAGCGGAACACCCAGCAATTTGGTGAGACCGAATTCGAGTTTGTCTTCCGCTGGTATGGAACTGTTTACCTCGGTAGAGTTGGATATGTACTCTCTCAAGTTAGCAGCTCACGCAGTGAGATTCGCCTTGTATCCAGATGCTTGTTTACAAAAGATTTGCGAGATTTCTTTCCGCTAGTTCTGTATATTGGCGTTCAATATGTTTGTTAAGTGCAGAGTGAGAGTTGGGTGTGGCGCTGTTACACCGAATGCTAACTCTTCGAAAACGTCGGCGGGCGTGGGGCCCGCTAGTGCTATGTTGTCTTTGTAGGAGGCTCATGATAATTCTTCAACCACAAAAACTAAAAGAGCTTTTGATTGCCACATGTTCGGAGCCTATGTGAATGCGAGTGTCACTAGGGACAGGAGGGCGCCAACGCTCGTCCCAAATAAGATGTACCGCCGCGGCTATGCACACACTGCGCTATATACCCTACGCGCAAAACGTTTGAAAACGGGTTTAAAGGCTTGGAGCGTCTTGGCAAGTATGGGTATGATCTCTCGGAGACGGAGGAACATTGTGCGAGCCAGGTGGAGGCCGAACATACAAAGGAGTGCATGAAACACCTTAACTGTGACACATAGTAAAGTACAGTGCAGTGAAAGACAAGGTGAGGTCTACAACTTGCGATTGGAAACCTCAAGAAGAATATAGTAACCATTCACAGTCTTACTCAGGGGAAAGGTTGACTCCTGCGTAGACCGCCACCTTAGGATCCACTGGTGCACAAAGGGTATTACTGAAACATGGCGTGAGAGGCGTCATCTTGATATCATGGTAGTATACTGAGTCACTGATTACAACATCATCCAGAACACAAACCAATCTGAGTGCAAACACACTACTAACATGAGGAATATTTGCACCTCTTGGGCAAGAAAATTAACCAGGAGATCCAATACTTGGCTGTAACACAGAGAGTTCCAAGATACTGGCAAGGAAATGGAGTGGAAAAGACACCACGGCACAATCTCAGATGCACTGCCTTGTTGGATTTCCACACTCCAGAATGTGGCATGTAGTAGACTCCAGCGGATTCTCCACATTGAGCGGAAGAGGTTTCGATCATGCCTTCTCTTTCATTGTTTCAGTATTTCAAGTGTACCGATCGATCACGTTCGGATTTTCTTAGCAACGCTATTTGCAAGCGATTGCAAGCGCGCTAGGCAACGCCCTCGTATGATTCTAATTGATAAAACAATTGTTTCAGTGGTAATTCGCCCCGGTAACAACCTCGATACACTTTTCGGTATTGTGCTAGGTATTCTAACGTTTTCTCGCTTTTCTGACATTCTTCTGGCGAAATTCCTAGTCCGTCAAGTTCGAACATTTTTTGGAGGATTTCTCGCTCCGTGTTTTTCTCTTGGATTGAGGTCATTCCATAGCAAATTGTTGCATTTATGCTGTCGGCTTGTAAGATTTCGTAAATGGTGGGCCCAAATACGGTTTTTGCGATGTGAAGCCCGGTAGAAGTTTGTATGGCATTAATTGGATCTGTGACCAGCTCGTGATAATGGTATAATCCCACTAGGATGCGAGGTTTTTGCCGTTCCTCACGAAGCTTTGAATTAGACAAGCAGATGCTGTTAGCCTTCAAAAGAAAACATCAGCCGACAACCAGTAGTGATACAGTTTTTTGGTGGTTTACGCTTGGAAAACCGTTAGTGATGACCGGTTTTGTCTGGATTTTCAATTCGAGCTCTTCTCCGTAAACTGTGCTAATTTTGACGTTTACGATGTGGCTTTTGAAGCATTCAATATGGCCTCCTATTCCTGACATTGTGCAAATTTCACTAGTCTGCTTTGGCATGCCTAAGGCTGTCAGCGAGTGATTCTTCAATAACAGTTCTATGAGCGCCAGAGTCAAAGAAAAAGAGGATTTTCTCGTATTCTCCCTTTATTATGATTCCAAACATTGCCCTCTGCGGTCATTAGGACAAGTTGTGAAGGAGCTGAACTCCTTTCTGAGCTTGCCAATGTGGTTTTGGCGCACATTTGTATGTTATTTGCGTTCATTCTTCTCATTTCGCCTTGATTTGCGAAGTTTCCTTGTTCACGTTGGAAGCGACCTGATCTTGAATTGTTTTGACCGGCAGTGCTTCTGGTATTGTTGTTCCAAGGCGCTTGATTTCTATTTTGTACACCTTCTTTTTTGAAGCAGAGGCTCGCATGATGTTTTTGTCCGCATTTGGGACAGTCTGGTTTCTGGCAGTCAAAGCTGCTGTGATTGGAAGAGCAACATTTCCAGCATCTGCGACCGTCTGTTAGTATTTTTCTGCGGTTCCCTTGATCAGTTATCGTTCTGCAAGTTAGTGAGGCATGATTACCCTTCTGGCAGAAGACATTGGTCGTTGGAGTAGGTACGTGAGTTGGCGTACTTATCTTTTGGAGTGATGGCCTTAATGTTTTGCTTGTGGCCTAATCTGTTCTCCACGTAACCCTTGGCGGCAATCCAAAGTTGCTTGCTGGCTTTCAGGTTGACCAGTTTTTGAACCACTTGCGCCCTAATTGTGGGCTGATTGCAGTACTTTTCCTTTAACGTTTGATTATCCACTCGTAATTTTGTGGTACAAGCGCTATTCCTTTTATTGAGGCTTGTGCTCTACCCTTGAGACTTTCCTTCAAGAGCAAAATCTTTTCCATAATGTCTAGTTCCTGACTTTTATGGACTAGGGTCTCGAAAATTGCCCAGTATTCCTGGAATTCCTCTGCGTTCCCGTAGAATTTTGGTAACGTTGCTTGAGGAGGTTTTATTGACCGATGTGGTCTTACGTTATTCCCGACTGTTTCTACAGCTGTTGAGTTTGACGTAGCTTGTGAAGTGATTTGACTCACAATTTTGAGTTGTCTCGATCTGAATAGGGTTTTACTCCCGATCAATTTGGTGATCTTGGTTTTCAGGTGGAGTATTTTGAATTATAAGAGCCCTCTGGGAGATGTAGCCAGTGGCTTGTGATCTGTGAGGAGAGTGAACCGGCGTCCATAGATATATCGATGAAATTTTCGAACGGCGTATACGAGCGCAAGGCCTTCTTTTTCTATTTGGCCATAGTTTTTCTCTGCGTTGGTGAGAGAGCGGCTAGCGTGATAAACAG